GGGGGGTCAATAACACATAATTAGTGACAGGTCCTCTTTATGGAGAGATATGGGGTCAATAGGACATAATTAGTGACAGGTCCTCTTTATGGAGAGATATGGGGTCAATAGGACATAATTAGTGACAGGTCCTCTTTATGGAGAGATATGGGGTCAATAGGACATAATTAGTGACAGGTCCTCTTTATGGAGAGATATGGGGTCAATAGGACATAATTAGTGACAGGTCCTCTTTATGGAGAGATATGGGGTCAATAGGACATAATTAGTGACAGGTCCTCTTTATGGAGAGATCATAATAGACATAATTAGTGACAGGTCCTCTTTATGGAGAGATATGGGGTCAATAGGACATAATTAGTGACAGGTCCTCTTTATGGAGAGATATGGGGTCAATAGGACATAATTAGTGACAGGTCCTCTTTATGGAGAGATATGGGGTCAATAGGACATAATTAGTGACAGGTCCTCTTTATGGAGAGAGATATGGGGTCAATAGGACATAATTAGTGACAGGTCCTCTTTATGGAGAGATATGGGGTCAATAGGACATAATTAGTGACAGGTCCTCTTTATGGAGAGATATGGGGTCAATAGGACATAATTAGTGACAGGTCCTCTTTATGGAGAGATATGGGGTCAATAGGACATAATTAGTGACAGGTCCTCTTTATGGAGAGATATGAGGTCAATAGGACATAATTAGTGACAGGTCCTCTTTATGGAGAGATATGGGGTCAATAGGACATAATTAGTGACAGGTCCTCTTTATGGAGAGATATGAGGTCAATAGGACATAATTAGTGACAGGTCCTCTTATGGAGAGATATGGGGTCAATAGGACATAATTAGTGACAGGTCCTCTTTATGGAGAGATATGGGGTCAATAAAACATAATTAGTGACAGGTCCTCTTTATGGAGAGATATGGGGTCAATAAAACCCCACATCTCTCCTCTGCAATGTAAAGCATTAGCTCAAAAAAAAAAAAAAGCATTGATCTAGTGCTTTAAAAAAAAAAGAGAAGTGGTCAGAACGGGACGTGACATCGCTCCGGTCATCCAAGGGCATAGAGATGAGTGGCGGCCATCTTTCCTTCACTCATCTTTATGCCCAGCGGCAGATCGATGGTTTCTCAGGTAAGGCTGAGAACTACCAAGCGGCGACGACGGCAGCGAGGTTTTTTCGGCACCTGTATCGGTGCCTTTTTTCATATCAGCCGACGGCCGAAAGGGGTATTTTCGGCCGAAGCGTTTCGGCCACCGAAATTTTCAGTGCATCCCTACTGATAGCGCTTGCAAAACAACACTCAACACAATGTGCAAATATCCAAAAAAAAATATTTCTATACGGACACTTTATGTTTTTTGTGGCGTTTTTAACAGATGAAAGCACAAACTAACTGGAACTTCGCAGTGATTGGCTTTGAATACAGTTAATTTTTGTTTAAGAAAAAAAAAATGTGAATTTTTGGAGATTTGCACATTGTATTGAGTGTTGTTTTGCAAGCGCTATCAGGTGTGTGTATATTTATTGAATAATATCTATTATACTGTATCTGTGAGAAATGATGTCTAAACTTGCGTCCAGAGCTTCGGGAGAGGGGGGCAGGGGGCCATTTTGCACTTTGCATTCAGAAAGCTCTGTAAGTAAATTGGGGAAACTACATTTCCCACCCTTCATTGTAGCATTTCTGCATAGTATGGAGCTGGGCTGCTGTTAGGTAGGCTGTACAGGGGCCCTGTGATGTGTGACAGCGCCCCCCTCCCCACCCCAGAAAATATCAAAATTATATTTTCACTAAAAAAAGCACTTACTAGAATAGAATGCAGCGGTGCTGCACGCTCCCAGGGAGTGCGCACAAGCAGGGAGCGGGAAGGATGTTTATAAACAGCCGGACGGGAGCAGTGCAGGGGCGGGTGGCTGTTTATAAACGTCCTCCCCGCTCCCTGGGAGTGCGCAGCACCGCGATCCGGTGCCCACTGTGTCCGGAGGACCGATCGTTGCACGGGACCTCTGTGTAAGGTCCCGATCATGTGATCACCGATTGGGTCGATCAGTGATCACATGAAGAGTAGTAAGCAAGATGTCACTAAGTGGTTAAAGCAGGCGCAGTGCCGAAAGGTATCAAAAAAAGACCGGGACCTTTTCCGTGAGTATCGGACACGGAGGGGGGGGGTTTGGGGATCATGTGACCGCCGTGATGCGTCGTCACGGCAGTCACATGAAAAGGTCTTGATAGAAAAGAAGACCGGGACCTTTTCCGTGAGGCCGCATGTGGATTATATACCCCCACACCGCGCCTCGTCACGGCCCTTAAGATTTCAGAAAGGTCCCGATAGAAAGAGGGAGGGACCTTTTCCGGAGTATCGGACATGCGGGGGGCGGGGTTTAGGGATCATGTGGCCCGCCGTGACGCGTCGTCACGGCAGTCACATGAGGGATCATGGGAAAGGTCTTGATAGAAAGAGGGAGACCGGGACCTTTTCCGTGAGTACCGGACATGTGGACGGGCGGGGGGGATGCTCGTTTGGGGATCATGTGACCGCCGTGATGCGTCGTCACGGCAGTCACATGATCGGGAAAGGTCTTGATAGAGAAGAAAGGACCGGGACCTTTTCCGTGAGTACCGGACATGTGGACGGGCGGGGTTTAGGGATCATGTGACCGCCGTGACCTTTTCGTCACGGCGGTCACATGATCGGGAAATGTGATAGGAGGAGACCGGGGTTTTTCCGGGATCATGTGGACCGGGGTGTTTGATGCGATCATGTCCGCGTGATGCGTCGTCACGGCAGTCACATGATCGGGAAAGGTCTTGATAGAAAGAGGAGACCGGGACCTTTCCGTGAGTACCGGACATGTGGACGGGCGGGGTTTGGGGATCATGTGACCGCCGTGATGCGTCGTCACGGCAGTCACATGATCGGGAAAGGTCTTGATAGAAAGAGAAGACCGGGACCTTTCCGTTGTGTTACCGTGAGTACCGGACATGTGGACGGGCGGGGTTTAGGGATCATGTGACCGCCGTGACGCGTCGTCACGGCAGTCACATGATCGGGAAAGGTCTTGATAGAAAGAGGAGACCGGGACCTTTTCCGTGAGTACCGGACATGTGGACGGGCGGGGTTTGGGGATCATGTGACCGCCGTGATGCGTCGTCACGGCAGTCACATGATCGGGAAAGGTCTTGATAGAAAGAGAAGACCGGACCCTTTCCGTGAGTACCGGACATGTGGACGGGCGGGGGGGTTTGGGGATCATGACCGCCGTGATGCGTCGTCACGGCAGTCACATGATCGGGAAAGGTCTTGATAGAAAGAGAAGACCGGGACCTTTCCGTGAGTACCGGACATGTGGACGGGCGGGGTTTAGGGATCATGTGACCGCCGTGACGCGTCGTCACGGCGGTCACATGATCGGGAAAGGTCCCGATAGAAAGAGGAGACCGGGACCTTTTCCGTGAGTATCGGACATGTGGACGGGCGGGGTTTGGGGATCATGTGACCGCCGTGATGCGTCGTCACGGCAGTCACATGATCGGGAAAGGTCTTGATAGAAAGAGGAGACCGGGACCTTTTCCGTGAGTACCGGGACATGTGGACGGGCGGGGTTTAGGGATCATGTGACCGCCGTGATGCGTCGTCACGGCAGTCACATGATCGGGAAAGGTCCCGATAGAAAGAGGAGACCGGGACCTTTTCCGTGAGTATCGGACATGTGGACGGGCGGGGTTTGGGGATCATGTGACCGCCGTGATGCGTCGTCACGGCAGTCACATGATCGGGAAAGGTCTTGATAGAAAGAGAAGACCGGGACCTTTCCGTGAGTACCGGACATGTGGACGGGCGGGGTTTGGGGATCATGTGACCGCCGTGATGCGTCGTCACGGCAGTCACATGATCGGGAAAGGTCTTGATAGAAAGAGGAGACCGGGACCTTTCCGTGAGTACCGGACATGTGGACGGGCGGGGTTTAGGGATCATGTGACCGCCGTGACGCGTCGTCACGGCGGTCACATGATATCGGGAAAGGTCCCGATAGAAAGAGGAGACCGGGACCTTTTCCGTGAGTATCGGACATGTGGACGGGCGGGGTTTTGGGGATCATGTGACCGCCGTGATGCGTCGTCACGGCAGTCACATGATCGGGGAAAGGTCTTGATAGAAAGAGGAGACCGGGACCTTTCCGTGAGTACCGGACATGTGGACGGGCGGGGTTTAGGGATCATGTGACCGCCGTGACGCGTCGTCACGTCGTCACGGCGGTCACATGATCGGGAAAGGTCCCGATAGAAAGAGGAGACCGGGACCTTTTCCGTGAGTATCGGACATGTGGACGGGCGGGGTTTAGGGATCATGTGACCGCCGTGACGCGTCGTCACGGCGGTCACATGATCGGGAAAGGTCCCGATAGAAAGAGGAGACCGGGACCTTTCCGTGAGTACCGGACATGTGGACGGGCGGGGTTTAGGGATCATGTGACCGCCGTGACGCGTCGTCACGGCGGTCACATGATCGGGAAAGGTCCCGATAGAAAGAGGAGACCGGGACCTTTTCCGTGAGTATCGGACATGTGGACGGGCGGGGTTTGGGGATCATGTGACCGCCGTGATGTGTCGTCACGGCAGTCACATGATCGGGAAAGGTCTTGATAGAAAGAGAAGACCGGGACCTTTCCGTGAGTACCGGACATGTGAATGGCGGGAAATTATTTTGGTATGCAAAGTGGTTAAAAAAATATTCGTTAAGTAAACCAATGCATTCCAAAATCACAACGTTCGGTTTGGTGATGAAGGTTTTGATGAATGTGCAGGAGGACTGAAAAAAAAAAGAAAGAAAGTCCTGAAAGAAACACATCACACAAAAGCCTCATGTGAGAAGTAGAAGCAACCTCAGCCCTCCGACGCGTTTCGTCCCACCCCCGGGGCGTAGTCTTAGGGAACAAGTCAGGACACGGGAAAGTCCCACTTCAATTTGGCCGGGTGTGGGCTACCGATACCTGACAGTGCTGATCCCAGTTATCCATTGTGTCCATCCACTCCGCGATCTCCCGCTGCACCGCTGTCAACTCTTTCTGCAGAAACCGCCACATCACCGTCACGTTGCAGCCGTTGACCCAGTTGTGATTGATGGAAATGGTGTCTATCTGGAACACAGGAAACGTATATTTATGGAGAACGATGACAAGGGCTTGTAAAGTGGCCGTTTCTATAATAAAAGTAGTCAATGGCAGCCATCCTGTAAAGGAGCAGGCTGAGTACTTACCAGCTGGGCACTGTGGTTCCTCCTGCTGACATCCATGTCGTTACAGAACACAGTAGTGACACAGGAGTTGGGGGGGGGAAAGGAATCGGTGGGGTGAAATTACTAACAGCATATTGGGGGGAGGGGGGGGGGGTTGATTTACTCAAGGCAAATAGACTGTGCACTTTGCAAGTGCAGTTGCTCCAGAGCTTAGTAAATGCGGTGAAGCTCTGTTGACTTCCATCATCCAATCATAAGCAAGCACAAAAATATATATATATTTTTTTTATTTTCCTCGCATGTGATTGGGTAATCTTTGCAAAGTGAAGCTCCATCCTATTTACTAAGCTCTGACGCAACTGCACTTGCAGAGTGCACAGTCTATTTGCCTTGGGTAAATCAACCCCGATAACGTATACGTCCAATGGGTGGTGAGGGGAATCTGCGCTTCCAAGAGCTCCTGACACTGATGCTATGTAACTCTCTGGGGTCAATCAGACAGCACTCCCCTCCCAGACGCTGTGGGATGATTTACTAAAGGCAAATAGACCGTGAACTCTGCAAGTGCAGTTGCCCTCATTTTTCCCCAGATCTTAGTAAATGCGGTAAAGCTCTGCTGATTTACACCATCCAATTGCGTGCAAGCAAAAATGCTGGGGTTTTTTTTTGCATTTTTTAGCGTTTTTTTTTTGGGGGGGGGGACGTCCAAAAACACTGGTTTTCTGTGTTTGACAGCGTTTTTCTGAGTTTTGCTGCGTTTTTCAGTGTTAGAGCGCTTTTACAGCTAAAAAACTCCTCTAGAAATCCACTAGTTCTGTTTTTTTTCCAGCCAAAAAACATTGATTTCAATCTCTGTGTGTATGGAGACAGAGGATAACATGCTGGGGGGGTTTACTGGCTGTAGAAAAAAAATGTCAAAAGCCGAAAACAGCCGCTGTAAAAACTTCCCGTGTGCGTGAGGACTAAATCAGAAAACAGGACTGGGGCAAAAGAAAATACACGGAAGGGCTGATTTACTAAAACTGGAGAGCGCAAAATCTGGTGCATAGAGACCAATCAGCTTCCGGGTTTTATTATTCACCTTTTGAACAAACATAATAAATACATTTTTTTTGCAGTTAAAAAAAAAAAAAAATACATTTATTATTTTTTTGTTTCAGGAGCCTGTAAAACATTGCACCAGAGATCAGCAGATTGCTGGTGCCATGCAGGTCTCCTGCAGACCTGTCAGTATATCTGCTAACTGGTATGGAATTGCAGCACAGTGGCTAAATGGTTAGCACTTCCGCCTGGCAGTACTCGGATTGTTGGTTCAAATCCCAACCACGGCACCACCTGCCTGGAGTTTGCATGTTCTCCCTGTGCCTGTGTGGGTTTCCTCCCACACTCCAAAGATTGAGCTTTCTTTCAGTGGTATTTAATTGCTCGTGCGGTTTTTATTTTTTGCGTTGTAGAAAAAAAAAAGACCGACAATTTTGAGAAAAAAAAAAACAATATTATTTTTGCTATTAACCCCTCGCCTACCGAGTACTCTCACCCCCTTTCTGTCCAGGCCAATTTTCAGCTTTCAGCGCTGTCGCATTTTGAATGACAATTGCGCGGTCATGCAACACTGTACCCATATGATATTTTTATCTTTTTTTTCTCACAAATAGAGCTTTCTTTTGGTGGTATTTAATCGCCGCTGGAGGTTTTACTTTTGCGCTATAAACAAAAAAAAGAGCAAAAAAAAAAAAGTTTTTTTCTTTGTTTCTATTATAAAATTTTGCAAACAGGTAATTTTTCTCCTCTCGTTGATGAGGCTGCATGGATAAGCAACAATGATGGGCGACACTGACAGGGCACTGGTGGGCACAGATGGGTGGCACTGCGGGGATACAGTAAATGCAGGTTCCGGGGAGAGCGGATACAGTGAATGCGGGGTCTGGGGAGAGCGGATATAGTGAATGCGGGGTCCGGGGAGACCAGATATAGTGAATGCAGGGTCCGGGGAGAGCGGATATAGTGAATGCAGGGTCCGGGGAGAGCGGATATAGTGAATGCGGGTCCGGGGAGAGCGGATATAGTGAATGCGGGGTCTGGGGAGAGCGGATATAGTGAATGCGGGGATCCGGGGGTCCGGGGAGCGGATATAGTGAATGCGGGGTCCAAGGAGAGCGGATATAGTGAATGCGGGGTCCGGGGAGAGCAGATATAGTGAATGCGGGGTCCGTGGAGAGCGGATATAGTGAATGCGGGGTCCGGGGAGAGCGGATATAGAGAATGCGGGGTCCGGGGAGACCGGATATAGTGAATGCGGGGTCCGAGGAGAGCGGATATAGTGAATGCGGGGTCCGGGGAGAGCGGATATAGTGAATACGGGGTCCGGGAGAGCGGATATAGTGAATGCGGGGTCCGGGGAGACCGGATATTGTGAATGCGGGGTCCGGGAGAGCGGATATAGTGAATGCGGGGTCCGGGAACAGTGGATATAGTGAATGCGGGTCCGGGGAGACTGGATATAGTGAATGCAGAGTCCGGGGAGAGCGGATATAGTGAATGCGGGGTCCGGGGAGAGCGGATATAGTGAATGCGGGGTCCAGGGAGAGCGGATATAGTGAATGCGGGGTCCGGGGAGACCGGATATAGTGAATGCGGGGTCCGGGGAGAGCGGATATAGTGAATGCAGGGTCCGGGGAGCGCGGATATAGTGAATGCAGGGTCCGGGGAGAGCGGATATAGTGAATGCAGGGTCTGGGGGGAGCGGATATAGTGAATGCGGGGTCCGGGGAGAGCGGATATAGTGAATGCGGGGTCCTGGGAGAGCGGATATAGTGAATGCGGGGTCCGGGGACAGTGGATATAGTGAATGCGGGGTCCGGGGACAGTGGATATAGTGAATGCGGGGTCCGGGGAGAGCGGATATAGTGAATGCGGGGTCCGGGGAGAGCAGATATAGTGAATGCAGGGTCCGGGGAGAGCGGATATAGTGAATGCAGGGTCTGGGGGAGCGGATATAGTGAATGCGGGGTCCGGGGAGAGCGGATATAGTGAATGCGGGGTCCGGGAGAGCGGATATAGTGAATGCGGGGTCCGGGGACAGTGGATATAGTGAATGCGGGGTCCGGGGACAGTGGATATAGTGAATGCGGGGTCCGGGGAGAGCGGATATAGTGAATGCGGGGTCCGGGGAGAGCGGATATAGTGAATGCAGGGTCCGGGGAGAGCAGATATAGTGAATGCAGGGTCCGGGGAGAGCGGATATAGTGAATGCAGGGTCTGGGGGGAGCGGATATAGTGAATGCGGGGTCCGGGGTTTAGTACCACTTTAATTGAACAAGCTGAAGTTTGTAGCTGATTGGCTCCCATGCACAGCTGCACCAGATTTTGCCCTCTCTAGTGTTGGTCAATCCTCCCCGACATGTCCCGTCGTGTCCTATATACAAGGTCTATGATCTCCATGTGATTCTCCTCTGTGATGGTCACCTGAACACGGCCTCAGCACACTTGCCCGTCGCCTTACCACGTTGTACACCTGATGATGCCACCCGCTGGGCACAAAGATGATCTCTCCGGCTTCCTGTGTCACCTCCATCGGCGGGCAGCACTTCTGATAATTGGGGTACAGTTTAGGGTCCCGAAGGGTAGAAGACGTCACATCATATCGGGAGATTTCCATGGCAATCCCTGAGGTTTTCCTCTGATCCCGGGGGAAAGAGCAGCCACTTCTTCCTCCCGCAGATATTCGCCGACCAGCTGTATGAACGGAAGACGTCGGCGTGGAACGGAGTCCTGTAATCAAACAAGTACAGAAAATTGACATAGAAAAAAACGTTTTCCATCAGTCAGACCCGGCTGGCAGACCGTAAGGGCCATTCACACCGGCAGGCATGCTAGAATTGGATTTTTGTAACTCACCGTAAAATCCCTTCTGCCATGCAGAGCCATACAAAGCAGTGTGCCGGAGCTGACAGGGGAGAGATCTGTATTGTTCATACGAAGGTCTCTCCCCTGTCAGAGATAATCGGCGATCACCAGCGAGTAATCACTGGGCGAGACCCGGTGATTGACAGCCGAGACCGCGAATGTATACCGTATTTATCGCTCCATAAGACGCACTTTTTTCCCCCCGAAAAATGGGTGAAAATGTCTGAACGTCTTATGGAGCGAATATGGAGCAGCGGGGCCAGTATTCCCGCTGCTGCCGTGTAAGAATACTGGGCCAGCCGCTCAGCTCTACTGTGCAGAAGAACCTGCTCCTCGGTCCTACCAGTTCCTCAGTCCAGCGGTGTCCTGCTTTTACCGGCCGTCTTCTCTCCCCGGCGCCGGCATCTTTAGTGTGGGCACTCGGCTGTGACAGCTTGCAGCTTCAGAAGGTGCCCACTGAGCATGTGCAAGAGCACTGCTCTTTGTGAATGGCCACCTGCAGTCTTCTGGGACCTGTCACATGTCCCACAAGACTACGGGGAGGACAACTCCGCGGAAGTGGGAGCGGGTACCTGTCAAATTGTCAAATTTGGGTACCCCCCCCCCCCCCCCGATCCCCAAAGGTCTGCAGTCTCTGGTCATCCCCTGTACTATGTGCGCAGCCTCTGGTCATCTCCTGTACCGTGTCCGCAGTCTCTGATCTTCCCCTGTACTACGTCCGCAGTCTCTGGTCATCTCCTGTACTGTGTCCGCAGTCTCTGGTCATCTCCTGTACTATGTCCGCAGTCTCTGGTCATCTCCTGTACTATGTCCGCAGTCTCTGGTCATCTCCTGTACTATGTCCGCAGTCTCTGGTCATCTCCTGTACTGTGTCCGCAGTCTCTGGTCATCTCCTGTACTATGTCCGCAGTCTCTGGTCATCTCCTGTACTATGTCCGCAGTCTCTCCGGTCATCTCCTGTACTGTGTCCGCAGTCTCTGGTCATCTCCTGTACTGTGTCCGCAGTCTCTGGTCATCTCCTGTACTGTGTCCGCAGTCTCTGGTCATCCTTTGTACTATGTCCGCAGTCTCTGGTCATCTCCTGTACTATGTCTACAGTCTCTGGTCATCTCCTGTACTGTGTCCGCAGTCTCTGATCTTCCCCTGTACTACGTCCGCAGTCTCTGGTCATCTCCTGTACCGTGTCCGCAGTCTCCGGTCATCTCCTGTACTGTGTCCGCAGTCTCTGGTCATCTCCTGTACTGTGTCCGCAGTCTCTGGTCATCTCCTGTACTGTGTCCGCAGTCTCTGGTCATCTCCTGTACTATGTCTACAGTCTCTGGTCATCTCCTGTACTATGTCTACAGTCTCTGGTCATCTCCTGTACTATGTCTACAGTCTCTGGTCATCTCCTGTACTGTGTCCGCAGTCTCTGGTCATCTCCTGTACTATGTCCGCAGTCTCCGGTCATCCCCTGTACTATGTCCGCAGTCTCTGGTCATCTCCTGTACTGTGTCCGCAGTCTCTGGTCATCTCCTGTACTATGTCCTGCAGTCTCTGGTCATCTCCTGTACTGTGTCCGCAGTCTCTGGTCATCTCCTGTACTGTCTGCAGTCTCTGGTCATCTCCTGTACTATGTCCGCAGTCTCTGGTCATCTCCTGTACTGTGTCCGCAGTCTCTGGTCATCTCCCCTGTACTGTGTCCGCAGTCTCTGGTCATCTCCTGTACTGTCTGCAGTCTCTGGTCATCTCCTGTACTATGTCCGCAGTCTCTGGTCATCTCCTGTACTGTGTCCGCAGTCTCTGGTCATCTCCTGTACTGTGTCCGCAGTCTCTGGTCATCTCCTGTACTGTGTCCGCAGTCTCTGGTCATCTCCTGTACTGTGTCCGCAGTCTCTGGTCATCTCCTGTACTATGTCCTGCAGTCTCTGGTCATCTCCTGTACTGTCTGCAGTCTCTGGTCATCTCCTGTACTATGTCCGCAGTCTCTGGTCATCTCCTGTACTCTGTCCGCAGTCTCTGGTCATCCCCTGTACTGGTGTCCGCAGTCTCTGGTCATCTCCTGTACTGTCTGCAGTCTCTGGTCATCTCCTGTACTATGTCCGCAGTCTCTGGGTCATCTCCTGTACTATGTCCGCAGTCTCTGGTCATCTCCTGTACTGTGTCCGCAGTCTCTGGTCATCTCCTGTACTATGTCCGCAGTCTCTGGTCATCTCCTGTACTATGTCCGCAGTCTCTGGTCATCTCCTGTACTGTGTCCGCAGTCTCTGGTCATCTCCTGTACTATGTCCGCAGTCTCTGGTCATCTCCTGTACTCTGTCCGCAGTCTCTGGTCATCCCCTGTACTGTGTCCGCAGTCTCTGGTCATCCTGTACTGTCTGCAGTCTCTGGTCATCTCCTGTACTATGTCCGCAGTCTCTGGTCATCTCCTGTACTATGTCCGCAGTCTCTCTGGTCATCCCCTGTACTGTGTCCGCAGTCTCTGGTCATCCCCTGTACTATGTCCGCAGTCTCTGGTCATCTCCTGTACTATGTCCGCAGTCTCTGGTCATCTCCTGTACTATGTCTGCAGTCTCTGGTCATCTCCTGTACTGTCTGCAGTCTCTGGTCATCTCCTGTACTGTCTGCAGTCTCTGGTCATCTCCTGTACTATGTCCGCAGTCCATTGGTTCAGAATATTTTCTTTCTTGTGTTCCTCCTCTAAAGTCTAGGTGCGTCTTATGGAGCGAAAAATACGGTACATACGTGATTGTGCGCACCCGTGCCTCCCTGTAGTAGTATTTCTCCTATATGGCGCCGCGAAACCAGTTAACCAGGCAGTGCTTACTCCAAAACATTTAACATTCTCTGGCTCTGAAGAAGAGGAGACTGCTCCTCGAAACGCGGCAGTTTTTGAGGGTCCTCTCGTGATATGGAGCTGATCCGGCTATTGCTTGCTTTGGACTTTGATATGCTCTTTTTTTATGAGTATATAATTACTGGGATACAATAAAGCTGTCATCTTTGTAACGCCCTAGGCTGGGCGCCCTCTTTTTCCTGGTCTTTACAGCAATTCTCTGAACCTTGCCTGCCTTGAACCACAGACTGCCATTGGACCCAATCTGCCTGGCTGCCAACCACACGGACCTATTTGCTGTGCTTATGTCAGGGTCCTGTCCACGGCAGGAGTTCTGGAAGATCTGGCATTTCTGCCAGTACTCTACATGGCCGCAGAAGTACACATCAACCTCAGTCTGGTGCTAGGCGGCCTTTATAAGGAGGCTCATCACTTCCTCAAGTTACTGGATGATCTCTAGCTCCCCGTGCCCTGTTCCTGGTTTCTGTGACTTGACCTGTGATTTCCTGTTACCGACTCGCTTGCTCCTGGACCCGTCTACTCTACTTTACCCCTGATCTGACCTCGGCTTGGCTTATGGATACTCTCTCTCTCTCGCTCCTCTGTGTATGACCTCGGCTATCCCATCTGATTATGTCTGCTCTGATTCCCACCTGGTACCTGACCTTGGCTTGAACCGACTACCCAGTAAACATCTAAATCCCGGAAGGCTTGCATACCACGCACAGGCGCCTCCTGTCTGCAGACCTATCTCCGTGCACCAGCTGTGCTTCTGAGTGGACCACCAACCAGCACTCCTACAGGCGACCTGTGCAACTTTGGGCCTGACTCCCGCTGTCCCACTGTCAGGGGAGTCTGGAACGTAGCCGCAAGGGAAGCCCTCTCTCCATTGGCCTCCATCACCAGGTACATGATAGCTTAGTTTGCACCTGCCCTGGCATGGTGGCCAGGCGCTATAGCATTGTGTATAAATCCTGAGGGCAACCAAGTACCAGTAGGCCTTTTTTTCCTTACGGGAAAGGGGGCTGCTATAGGTGAAAAGCACAGCTGCAGTGCCTGACTACCAACGCTAGGGGGAGGCGTGACATAGGTTTGCCACATTTTTACGCAGCTCAATGCACAAAAACTGCCAGACACAGCAGAGGTTGGAGGTTCAGATACCAGTCCTGACACCTACTATGCCTCAGAAAGGAAAAGATCGTCTGCAATTCGAACAATGGTAACTTTTTTATTCATTCGGACAACATGAACAGAAATTCCCACCTGACTTCTCACCCAGGACCTCCTCTGTTGATGCGTTTTCTCCCACGAGATTGGGGTTCATCGTACAGCCTAGCCTTGAGAATGAAAAGCATCAGAGCAGGAGGTCCCAGGAAGGCATTTCTGTTCGTGTGGTCTGGATGAATAAAGTTACCAGCCTTTTTTTTTTTTCTCACAGGCAGCCGGCCTCTTTCAAATAAAACATCCCGTCGAGGGGTTAATCTTCCAGCGGGCACCCCCCTTCCAGTCCGGACACTTTCCCCCCCTTCCAGTCCGCACACTTTCACCCCCTTCCAGTCCAGACACTCTTCCCCCCCCCTTCCAGTTCCGGACACTTTCCCCCCCTTCCAGTCCGAACCCCCCCCCTTCCAGTCCGGACACTTTCCCCCCCTTCCATTCCGGGACACTTTCCCCCCTTCCAGTCCGCCACTTTCACCCCCCTTCCAGTCCGAACACTTTCCCCCCCTTCCAGTCCGGACACTTTCCCCCCCAGTTCCAGACACTCCCCCCCTTCCAGTCCAGACACTTTCCCCCCCTTCCAGTCCCGAACACTTTAACCCCCTTCCAGTCCGAACACTTTCCCCCCCTTCCAGTCCGGACACTTTCCCCCCCTTCCAGTCCGGACACTTTCCCCCCCTTCCAGTCCGGACACTTTCCCCCCCTTCCAGTCCGGACACACTTTCCCCCCCTTCCAGTCCGGACACTTTCCCCCCCTTCCAGTCCGGACACTTTCCCCCCCTTCCAGTCCGGACACTTTCCCCCCCTTCCAGTCCGGACACTTTCACCCGCTTCCTGTCCGGACACTTTTCACCCCCTTCCTGTCCGGACACTTTTCACCCCCCTTTCAGTCCGGACACTTTCCCCCCCTTCCAGTCCGGACACTTTCCCCCCCCTTCCAGTCCGGACACTTTCCCCCCCCCTTCCAGTCCGGACACTTTCCCCCCCTTCCAGTCCGGACACTTTCCCCCCCCCCCCTTCCAGTCCGGACACTTTCCCCCCTTCCAGTCCGGACACTTTCCCCCCCTTCCAGTCTGGACACTTTCCCCCCTTCCAGTCCGGACACTTTCACCCCCCTTCCTGTCCGGACACTTTCACCCCCTTCCTGTCCGGACACTTTCCCCCCCTTCCAGTCCGGACACTTTCACCCCCTTCCAGTCCGGACACTTTCCCCCCTTCCAGTCCGGACACTTTCCCCCCCTTCCAGTCTGGACACTTTCCCCCCCTTCCAGTCCGGACACTTTCCCCCCCCCTTCCTGTCCGGACACTTTCCCCCCTTCCTGTCCAGGCCAATTTTCAGCTTTCAGCGCTGTCACACTTTGAATGATAATTGCGCGGTCATGCAACACTGTACCCATATTAATTTTTTAGCATTTTTTTAAGACAGATAAAACTTTATTTTGGTGGTATTTATTCACCGCTGGGATTTTTCGTTTTTTGCTATATAAATGAAAATGTCCAAAAATTTTGAAAAAAAGTGTTTTTCTTATAAAATTTTGCAAATAAATAATCTTTCTTCATAAATCTTGGCCAAAATTTATTCCGTTATCTTTTTAGTAAAAACAAAAATAACCCAAATTAGTTTATAACCAAATTATAATTTTTCTAAATTTCTTTTATTTTTATATTTTTTTTTTTTTTTTTTTTTTTTTTACATACTGTCAACCTAGCAGTACAGTGTTACCATGGTGACACTGTACTACTTGTGTGGGGGGTGATGAAGATTTTTTTTTTTTTTACACAGATTGCTTTTACACCCATAACGGCTGTAAAAGCAATCATTTCTCCTTCTCTCTGGCTGCATTCTTGCAGCCATTGAGAACTACTTTGTGAGCTGTGATTGGTCACAGCTTGTCACATGGTACAAGGCTGTTGTGAATAGCTCTGTACCGTGTGATCTCTGTGATCATTCACAGATTTCACACGTAGTAAGCAATGATGTCAGAAGTGACACCTTTGCTTACTACTCTGCATGTGATCACTGATTGGCCAATCAGTGATCACATGATCGGGACCTCACACAGAGGTCCCGTACGATGATCGGTGTTCCTCTGTGTCCGGAGGATACGGTGGGCACCGGATCACGGAGCTGCGCGCTCCCAGGGAGCGCGCACAAGCAGGGTGCGGGGAGGACGTTTATATACATGGGCCGGACGGGAAGTGGTTAATAACCTTCACTGACAGATACATAAAGCAATATCAAATGGCCCTAAAAAAATCATGATGTCTGTACCATGAACCAGCCGGACCCATATAGACAAAGCGATAATCGTCCACGGCGATGGCGTCCCAGTATTCATTCAGCCAGTCTGATGAGAAGTACTTCTGGTATTTCATATGCATCATAATCTGGATACTCCCTGGAAGACGGAAGACGTGATCGTTAGTTATTAAGTTCAACACTGACACTGAGGCTTAGCAGCACAGAAGGATGAAGCCATCTTTGTTCAGGCATCATCCAGGGTCACCGTCTACTTCCTGGACTGAGCGGCCGGCTCAGATATGACACATCATTCTGGCACCCCAGCAGTTCTTATCTGTGTTTAAAATGTCTGACACAAATCAGACCCTGCTGAAGCCTCGTGACTGACTACAAAGTTACAAAGTACAGTCTGATCACTGGGGGGAGGGGAGACTGAGGAAATGCTTCCTCCTGCCTGCAGCAGACTGATGTCAGCATCTCAGCCTAGGCAAAGTCACTGATTGTAGATCGAGGGCGGCATTTTAATGACAAAAAGTGAAGCTTTTATGAAAAATGATACTGTTGCTGTATATTGTGACATGGGAGTGTACACTTGGAGACCGATAGATTCACTCTAAAGATGAATTCCAGGTATGGATATTTGTTTTTTACATAGTTACATTGTTTCAGCTTGGACCAATTATTATTAATCATGTAACTATGTACAGAATCTACTATACCTGGCCAATTCCACTGGAAGCAGGAAATCTCTGTAGGGTCCCCGCTACTACACCTCTTTACTTGCTACTACAAACCCAATTGAACCTCTACTTACAATGCTACTACAATCCACCCTACTGCACCAGTTTACACAGCTACTACAACACTACTACACCACTACTACAACCCAATTTGTACCTCTACTACACCGCTACTACAAAAAAACAACCCTGCTACACCACTACTACAATCCTACCACAACCCTACTGCACCTTACACAGCTACTACAACACTACTCACATTGCTACTACAACCCAATTGTACCTCTACTACACCGCTACTACAACCCTACTGCACCCTGCTACAACCTACTACAATCCTACCACAACCCTACTGCACCTGTTACACAGCTACTACAAACACTACTACAATGCTACTACAACCCAATTGTACCCCTACTACACCGCTACTACAACCCTGCTACATTACCCTGCTACACCACTACTACAATCCTACTACAACCCTACTGCAACCAGTTACACAGCTACTACAACACTACTACAATGCTACTACAACACCCAATTGTACCCCTACTTACACCGCTAACTACAACCCTACTACAACCCTGCTACACCACTACTACAATCCTACCACAACCCTACTGCACCTGTTAACACAGCTACTTACAACCCTACTACACCACTACTACAACCCTACTACAACCTTGCTACACACCTTATCTAATACAACCCTACTGCACCACTACTACAACCCTACTGCACCCCTACTACACTGCTACTACAACCCTACTGCACCACTACTACAACCCTACTACAAACCTTGCTACACCACTACACCCACTACTACAATCCTACTACATTAATACTACAACTCAACTGCACTGCTACTTACATTCAGGGGTGTATTTGGAGTGAGGCTAACAATGTTTGCCTTGGGTGGCATTTTTCCAGGGGCCCCTGGTAGAAGGGGAGTGAGGGAAGCCATGGTGTCCGGGGGGGGGGGGGTGGGGTGGGTTGGTGGTGTTTGTGTGTGGGGGTGTCGCAGTGTTGGTGTGGGGGGGGTTGTGGGGTGTTTGTGTGTGGGGGTGTCGCAGGTTGTGGGGGGGGGGGGGTTTGTCTGGTTAGTGGCACATTTTTTGTATTGCCTGGGGCAACACAAACACTAACACACATATAAATAAGTACATACATATTATATATATTAATTACTTTGGTCCGAGTTGAAGCATTATAATTATGTATGGGCAGCACAGCGGCTAAATGGTCAGCACTTCCGCCTGGCAGTACTCAGGTCATTAGTTCAAATCCCAACCACGGCACCACCTGCCTGCAGTTTGCATGTTTCTCCCCTGTGCCTGCGTGGGTTTCCTCCGGTTTCCTCCCACACTCTAAAGACATGCTGGGAGGTGAATTGGCTCCTGTCTAAATTGGCCCTAGCATGTGTATGTATGAAATGTGAGTTAGGGGACCTTAGATTGTACACCCCTTGAGGGTTCGGGACCTTAGATTGTACACCCCTTGAGGGTTAGGGAACCTTAGATTGTACGACCCCTTGAGGGTTAGGGACCTTAGATTGTACTCCCCCTTGAGGGTTGGGAACCTTAGATTTGTACGCCCCTTGAGGGTTGGGGACCTTAGATTGTACTGCCCCTTGAGGGTTGGGGACCTTAGATTGTACTCCCCTTGAGGGTTGGGGACCTTAGATTGTACACCCCCTTGAGGGTTAGGGACCTTAGATTTGTACATTGTACTCCCCTTGAGGGTTAGGGACCTTAGATTGTACACCCCTTGAGGGTTAGGGACCTTAGATTGTACTCCCCTTGAGGGTTAGAGACCTTAGATTGTACGCCCCTTGAGGGTTGGGGACCTTAGATTGTACACCCCTTGAGGGTTAGGGACCTTAGATTGTACGCCCCTTGAGGGTTAGGGACCTTAGATTGTACGCCCCTTGAGGGTTAGGGACCTTAGATTGTACGCCCCTATGAGGGTTAGGGACCTTAGATTGTACGCCCCTTGAGGTTTTAGGGACCTTATTGTACGCCCCTTGAGGGTAGGAGGGACTGATGTGAATGTTTACAATATATATGTAAAGCGCGGAGTAAATTGACACAGCTATATAAGTACCTGACAATAAATCAATAAATGTAGACAATGAAAAGGGAGAGGTGAATGCAGTTGTGTCTCATTTTTGCTATCCTGAAATAGTAAAACAAGTGAGCATTGTTACGTAAATTGACGGCGCTATATAAGTACCTGAAATAAATAATAAAATAAAATACACATACCTGGAATTACTTTTTACTATATATAGGTCCTTTCTCCAGTATCGGTGCATTACCTCTGCATGTGCCAGTCTTTCAGGTACAGACATCCCTTGGCAGACTGGTAGGCGTTGTCCCTGCGCTCCCTCCAGTATTCCCTGTATTCCTGGAGAGAGATCTGCTACTTGGGGTTGGCGTTGTACTCCTTCACATCGCAGTTAGCAACAGGAACAGCGGCATCCCCTGGAACAGATGTAATCAGCATAAGTAAAGCAAAAATGCAGCGCGTCAGCCTGAGCTTCTCTACCGCAACAACTGTCACATTGTGGGACCCAATCACAGGTCTTGTATTAGCCTGCTGGCGGCTTTTCCATAAATCCGCAACGTATGTACTTTGCTGGGATCCCAGTCTTCCAAAGGGAACATATATAGGATTGATTTAGGGGAGCTGGCACTGGTTACTTGGTTCCTAACCCCTCCCTGCCGACCCCGATATCCCTTTAACCGCTTCCAGTCCGGACACTTTCACCCCCCTTCCAGTCCGGACACTTTCACCCCCTTCCAGTCCGGGACACTTTCACCCCCTTCCCGTCCGGACACTTTCCCCCCCTTCCAGTCCGGACACTTTCATCCCCCTTCCAGTCACTGTACACTTTCACCCCCTTCCAGTCGGTACACTTTCACGTTCTCCCGGACCCCACACTTCCCACCCCTTCCAGTCCGGGACACTTTCCCACCACCCTCCCCCCATCCCCTGTCCCGGACACTCTCACCCTCCCTTCCCATCCCCTCTCAACCCCCCTCCAGTCCGGACACTCTCCCCCCCCCTTCCAGTCCGGACACTTTCCCCCCTTCCAGTCCGGACCCCACTTTCCCCCCTTCCCAGTCCGGACACTTTCCCCCCCTTCCAGTCCGGACACTTTCAATCACCCCCCTTCCAGTCCGCGGACACTTTCCCCCCCCCTTCCAGTCCGGACACTTTCCCCCCTCTCTCTCAGTCCCCTCCCCCCCCCCCTGCCGGCCCATACACTTTCCCCCCTTCCAGTCCCCGGACACTTTCCCCCCCCCAGTCCGGACACCTTCCCCCCCCTTCCCAGTCCGGATACTTTCACCCCTTCCAGTCCGGACACTTTAACCCCCTTCCAGTCCGGACACTTTCCCCCCCCTTCCAGTCCGGACACTTTCCCCCCCTTCCTGTCCAGGGGACACTCTCCCCCCTTTCCAGTCCAGACACTTTCACCCCCTTCCAGTCCAGACACTTTCCCCCCTTGTCCCAGTCCAGACACTTCAACAACCCCTTCCAGTCCGGACACTTTCCCCCCCTTCCAGTCCTGACATTTCTCACACTTTCCCCCCTCTTCCAGTCCGGACACTTTCACCCCCTTCCAGTCCGGACACTTTCACCCCCTTCCAGTCCGGTCACTTATACCCCACCCTTCCGGTCATCCCCCCCCTTCCAGTCAGGACACTCACCCATCTACCAGTCCCCCCTCTCACCCCCTTCCAGTCCGGACACTTTCCCCCCCCTTCCAGTCCGGACACTTTCCCCCCCCTTCCAGTCCGGACACTTTCCCCCCCTTCCAGGTCCACTTTCCCCCCCTTCCAGTCCGGACACTTTCCCCCCCTTCCAGTCCGGACACTTTCCCCCCTTCCAGTCCGGACACTTTCACCCCCTTCCAGTCCGGTCACTTTCACCCCCTTCCAGTCCTGGACACTTTCCCCCCCTTCCAGTCCGGACACTTTCCCCCCCTTCCAGTCCGGACACTTTCCCCCCCTTCCAGTCCGGACACTTTCCCCCCCTTCCAGTCCGGACACTTTCCCCCCCCCCTTCCCTGTCCGGGATACACTTCACCCCCCTTCCAGTCCGGACACTTTAAACCCCCCTTCCAGTCCGGACACATTCCCACACTTCCATCCAGTCCCCCTTTCCAGTCCGGACACTTTCCACCCCCCCTTCCTGTCCGGGACACTTAGATCACACCCCCTTCCAGTCCGGAGTACACTTTCCCCCCTTCCAGTCCAGACACTTTCCCCCCCCCTTCCAGTCCAGACACTTTCCCCCCCTTCCCAGTCCAGACACTTTCCCCCCTTCCAGTCCGGACACTTTCCCCCCCTTCCTGTCCAGGCCAATTTTCAGCTTTCAGCGCTATCACACTTTGAATGACAATTGCGCGGTCATGCAACACTGTACCCATATGAGATTTTTAGCATTGTTTTGAGACAGATAAAACTTTATTTTGGTGATATTTATTCACTGCTAGGATTTTTATTTTTTTTGCTATATAAATGAAAAAGTCCAAAATTTTGAAAAAAGCGTTTTTCTTATAAAATTTTGCAACTAAATAGTCTTTTTTCATAAATCTCGGCCAAAATTTATTCAGTTATCTTTTTAGTAAAACAAAAAAAACAAAACTCAAATTAGTTTATAACCAAAAATGATAATATTTTTCTAAATTTCTTTTTACAAATTTTTTTTTTTTTTTTTTACACTGATTGCTTTTACATCCATAAAGGCTGTAAAAGCAATCCTTTCTCCTTCTCTCTGGCTGCATTCTTGCAGCCATTGAGAAATACTGTGTGAGCTGTAATTGGTCACAGCTCGTCACATGGTAAAGGCTGTTGCGAATAGCCCTGTACCATGTGATCTCTGTGATCGTTCACAGATTTCACACGTAGTAAGCAGTGATGTCAGAAGTGACATTCAAGTCTATGGGGGAGGCATCTTCCCATTCAAGTCTATGGGGGAGGCGTCTTCCCATTCAAGTCTATGGGGGAGGTGGGGGAGGCGTCTTCCCATTCAAGTCTATGGGGGAGGCGTCTTCTCAGTCAAGTCTATGGGGGAGACGTCTTCCCGGTCAAGTCTATGGGGGAGGCGTCTTCCCGGTCAAGTCTATGGGGGAGGTGTCTTCCCGGTCAAGTCTACGGGGGAGGCGTCTTCCCCAGTCAAGTCTACGGGGGAGGCGTCTTCCCGGTCAAGTCTACGGGGGAGACGTCTTCCCCAGTCAAGTCTACGGGGGAGGCGTCTTCCCGGTCAAGTCTACGGGGGAGGCGTCTTCCCGGTCAAGTCTACGGGGAGGCGTCTTCCCAGTCAAGTCTACGGGGGAGGCGTCTTCCCGGTCAAGTCTACGGGGGAGGCGTCTTCCCGGTCAAGTCTACGGGGGAGGCGTCTTCCCGGTCAAGTCTACGGGGGAGGCGTCTTCCCCAGTCAAGTCTACGGGGGAGGCGTCTTCCCCAGTCAAGTCTACGGGGGAGGCGTCTTCCCCAGTCAAGTCTACGGGGGAGGCGTCTTCCCAGTCAAGTCTACGGGGGAGGCGTTTCCCCAGTCAAGTCTACGGGGGAGGCGGTCTTCCCAGTCAAGTCTACGGGGGAGGCGTGTACCCACTTCCGGGGGAGGCGTGTCCCACTCAAGTCTACGGGGGAGGCGTTTTCCCCCACTCAAGTCTACGGGGAGGCGTCTTCCCCATTCAAGTCTACGGGGGAGGCGTGTTCCCATTCACTACGGGGGAGGCGTCAAAGTCTACGGGGGAGGGTGTTTCCCTAAGTCTACGGGGAGGCGTCTTCCCATTCAAGTCTATGGGGGAGGCGTCTTCCCATTCAAGTCTATGGGAGGCGCGATTTCCTATTGACGTCTATGGGGCACAATTTCCTATTGAAATCTATGGGAGGCAGTGTGTGAACGAACCCAGACGTCAAGACGCAATTTCTAGCCACCATGGCGACCAGGGATTTGTCGAGCCGATATATAAATATGACAAATTGTCATTCAAACAATGACGGCACTGGAAGGGGGTGTACCATGCCTGTACTGAGGTGGTTAGGATGTCAGAAGGCAGGTCTATGGGCTCCTTGCTGGCTGGCAGTGCTGGGTCATTGACCTTGGACCGCCCATTACCATGAGTACAATGAGGTCTGTGGGTCATTGTAAAATACCAAAATTCTGCAGCAGATGATCCCAGTTCGGCTGGTTGTCGGCGCTGACCCAGAATTTCCGGCTCCCCCAGGATCTGGTGAAGTTGGAGGAGAAGAGGCACGGCACGTTCCCGATCATGTACTTGTGGAAGAACTCATGATAGCTGAAGGTTTCTGGGTCTTCAATGAAGTCGATGTGATCCCGGACGTGGTGTATAACATCTGATTGTTCCGTCAGCCTTTCCTCCATGAGATCTCTGGATTTGGGGGGGGGGGGGGGTGTCACATCATCTCATCGGCCATCTGTGGACCTTCACTGGTCCTGTAAATACACAATGCACAACCATTGGGGCACATTCACACTGATCTGTAGCATAAGCGCGGAAGAAAACGCATATGTGATTTTGCCGTGATTTTCTTGCAATTGCGGTGCGTTTTTTTTTCCAGGACATGCGACTCAAAAACTGCCTCAAAAATAAACACGGGTGCGTTTTTTCAGGGTGTAACCTCCACACACACTGATTGAGCCAGCATGGTATCACTCCACCCCCCCCTCTGTTCTCATTGGCTTGACCAGCATGGTGTCACTCCACCTCTTCTCCCTCACTGGTTCGGCCATAATGGTGTCACTCTTCCCCCCCCCTCTACTACACCATCACTGATTGGACCAGCATGGTGACACGCCCCCTTATACTCTCACTGATTGGACCAGCATGGTGTCACTCCTTCAAACAACTTTACTGGTTGGACCAGCATGGTGACACGCCCCCTTATACTCTCACTGATTGGACCAGCATGGTGTCACTCCCCCCGAACGACTTTACTGGTTGGACCAGCATGGTGTCACTCCCCCTTACACCCTCACTGGTTGGGTCACCATGGTGTCACTACCCCTTACACCCTCAATGGTCGGGCCAGCATGGTATCACTACCCCCCCCCTCTACACCCTCACTGGTTGGACAAGCATGGTGTCATGCCCCTTTACACTCTCACTGATTGGACTAGCATAATGCCACACCCCCCTTACACTCTCACTGATTGAACCAGCATGGTGTCACTCCCCCTTACACCCTCACTGGTTGGGCCAGCATGGCGTCACTCCCCCTTACACCCTCACTGGTTGGACCAGCATGGTTTCACTTTACCCTACACTCTCCCTGGTTGGTGTCACTCACTTTACCCTTACACTCTCTCCCTGGGTTGGTGTCACTCCCCCTTACACTCTTACTGGTTGGGCCAGCATGGTGTCACTCCCCTTGGTTGGACCAGCATGGTGTCACTCCACCACTGGTCACTCTTTGGCTGGGCCAGCATAGTAGCACCCCCCCCCCCCCCGTTCCTAGGAATTCAGGAAGGGGGGAGGGGTGGTATTCTGTATCCTTTATATATCAGTTTAGGATGAAGCAGCCCGCCATGTGAAGCCCAACACCGACCACAACACGCAGCACTGTGTATAATGTGGGGAGGAGTTAGACCCTCTGTCAGGTTTTCACCATGGAGGGATCTGACACCACTTCCTCTCAGGACAGGAAATAATGTAAAATCTATCCAATGGGGACACCCGATAGAAACGTTAGCAGGGCTAGAAGCTCTGGAAATGTTTGTATTGCTGCCGGTGCTTTCCTGTTCTGGTGACAACCATTATGTCTATTTTATGGGTGTCTCTGGGACAGGAAGTAAGGCAAAATCTCCCTTATGGGGTCACAGCCAGAAAAACCAAAACACATGACAGAAATGTCCTCAGTCTATCCATATTACACAGAAATATTTCTAGGAGGGTGACAGAACAGAATAAGCTGTGATATCATTGGTCAGCCTGTTATATCCCCTCCCCCGCCCATAATACAGATCTCATTATGAAGAGGGGGGGGTCTGTTCCCCCCAATCTGTGATCGGAAGCCCCCCTCTGTATAAGACCCCCGACCATCCTCACCCGGAAACCAATCCGACTTGCTCATGTTTCGGGGCGGACGGAGTTTCCGGGTGCACACGGCATGGTCAGCTGACCCCGCGGGGTGACGTCACTCCGGCATAGAATAACAAAAGCAACCGGGAGAGCGAGGTGAGCGGCTGGGAGGGGACCGGTGATTAGCGGACGGGAGCAGAGGGGGCGGGGACTGGAGAACTACAAATACCAGAGACGGTGTCAGAGGAAGCTGAATGTCCGGGGGCTGAGGGTGGTTGCATCTGTGTGAAAAGCTGCTGTCACCTGATTTATCTACACAGAGAGTCTGTACCAGAGGAGCTTACACCCAAATGTCCCCCATCTCCCCCGCAGTCCCCATCAGTCTCTGTACCAGAGGAGCTTACACCCAAATGTCCCCTCCCCCGCAGTCCCCCCCCATCAGGCTCTGTACCAGAGGAGCTTACACCCAAATGTCCCCTCCCCCGCAGTCCCATCAGTCTCTGTACTAGAGGAGCTTACGTCTAATGTCCCCTCCCCCCCCGCCGTCCCATCAGTCTCTGTACCAGAGGAGCTTAGCTTACACCCAAATGTCCCCCCCCCCGCAGTCCCATCAGTCTCTGTACTAGAGGAGCTTACACCCAAATGTCCCCTCCCCCCCCACAGTCCCATCAGTCTCTGTACTAGAGCTTACACTCTAATGTCCCCTCCTCCGCAGTCCTATCAGTCTCTGTACCAGAGGTAGCTTACACCCCAAATGTCCCCCTCCCCCGCAGTCCCATCAGGTCTCTGTACCAGAGGAGCTTACCGCTCTAATGTCCCCCTCCCCCACAGTCCCATCAGTCTCTGTACTAGAGGAGCTTACACTCTAATGTCCCCTCCCCCGCAGTTCCCATCAGTCTCTCTGTACCAGAGGAGCTTACACTCTAATGTCCCCTCCCCCGCAGTCCATCAGTCTCTAGTACCAGAGGAGCTTACACTCTAATGTCCCCTCCCCCACAGTCACACATCAGTCTCTTACTAGAGGACATTTCTCGCTCTAAATTTTTTTTTTCACATCAGTCCTTGTACCAGAGGGAAGCTTACGCTCTAATGTCGTACCCTCCCTCCCCCTGGAGTTTCACATCAGTCTCTTTACCAGAGGAGCTCATACACTTAACGTCCCCCCTCCCTCCGCAGCACATGTTATTAGCATTTATAGACTTTTTTGGTTAGAGGACCGCCTCCCTTTAATTACAAACTTTGTCTTCCTGGAGACAGCAGGGGTCTATTAGACGACCCTTGTCTCCCCTCCCTCCGCAGCACATGGAGCGGAGACTGTGCTTGGTTAGCCGCCTCCCTGGCTGCAGCGACCAGGAGCTGCGACAATCCTGTCCTGTAATGAAGCCGGGTCCTCGGCATCATCCATGACACCAACACTGTATTGGCAGCACAGAAGTAACATGTGAACACCTTGAGGAAGCTTCAGGACGAAACGCGTTGGGTGTTACTGCTGCATCCCTAACCGGGGAGGGGAGGGGCTGGTACACCTGCGCAAGACTGGAGGGGAGGGGCGGGTACACCTGCGCAAGACTGGAGGGGAGGGGCAGGTACACCAGCGCAAGACTGGAGGGGAGGGGCCGGTACACCAGCGCAAGACTGGAGGGGAGGGGCCGGTACACCAGCGCAAGACTGGAGGGGGAGGGGCGGGTACACCTGCGCAAGACTGGAGGGGAGGGGCGGGTACACCTGCGCAAGACTGGAGGGGAGGGGCGGGTACACCTGCGCAAGACTGGAGGGGAGGGGGCGGGTACACCTGCGCAAGACTGGAGGGGAGGGGCGGGTACACCTGCGCAAGACTGGAGGGGAGGGGGGTACACCTGCGCAAGACTGGAGGGATGGCTGGAGGTCCAAAATTAGTTTTTGGACCCAATCTGTTGGGGATTTTGGGGTGACCTCAGTGGATGTGTTTGTTTCCTCAGCCTGGTTCTCTCTGTATCTGTATCAATCCTCAGCAGAGCCCGACCTCAGATAATACAGAGATGTGTTTTATGTCTCGTATTTTGTAGAGCTCCGCTCTGGGATTTCCTGGAAGGTCCTCCCTGGGTCCCTCTACTCTGATGACTAAGGAAGTCCCTGTCCAGTCCTGGCCTTGTTCCTACTACCTGAACAGCGAACGGCGATGGGTTCCCGGCCGCCTCTCGCTGACTCCCACCCACCTGCGGTTCAGGGAGGACAACGCGGAGACGTTCTCGGTGGACTTCCACCTGTCCAGCATCAGTGAGATGAAGAAAGAGTCCTCCAGTTACATCTTCAGCTCCATCACCGTGTTGGAGAAGGACAACGCCAAGCACTGGTTCAGCTCCCTGCAGCCAAACCGCAGCGCCGTCTTCACCGTCCTGGAGCATTTCTGGAGGGAGCAGCTGCTGTCACCGCGGGGAGAGCGGGAGGAGGCCAAAACCTCCAAAGGGAAGGAACTCATCAACATTGTCAGCGGGTCCCAGAAGAGGCTGGAGGACACCACCAAGGTGCTACACCATCAGGGGGAACAGTTCGACAATATCATGAAGGACTTGAACAAAATAGAAGCCGACATGGCCACGGCCGACAGGTGAGCGCAAAATATTCAGATACACAGCAGTGTTGGCTTCTTCTAGTGAGCTAAAATATTTGAAGTCCCAATTCTGGGGATGAAAAAAAAAACTTGCAGTGCCCCCCCCCCCCCCCACTGCAATGGTTAAATGTTCATTATGTCTGGGGGTATTACCTGATTTCCCACTTCAGTTGGCTGCAAGACTCTCTGATCTCTGGGATGAGCCTCGACATCATCAGTGCAGTGCAGGGCTCTTAACCCTGCTGGTGGTGGGTTCCCACATCTCCAAATGTAATGCATGCAGGGACCTACAGAAAATTACCCCAGTGTCAGGGAGAGGAATAGTGCCCCATCATTGGTGTCAGTGGGAGGAATAGTGCCCCATCATTGGTGTCAGTGGGAGGAATAGTGTCCCATCATTGGTATCAGTGGGAGGAATAGTGCCCCATCATTGGTGTCAGTGGGAGGAATAGTGCCCCATCATTGGTGTCAGTGAGAGGAATAGTGCCCCCATCATTGGTGTCAGTGGGAGGAATAGTGCCCCATCATTGGTATCAGTGGGAGGAATAGTGCCCCATCATTGGTATCAGTGGGAGGAATAGTGCCCCATCATTGGTATCAGTGGGAGGAATAGTGCCCCATCATTGGTATCAGTGGGAGGAATAGTGCCCCATCATTGGTGTCAGTGGGAGGAATAGTGTCCCATCATTGGTATCAGTGGGAGGAATAGTGTCCCATCATTGGTGTCAGTGGGAGGAATAGTGCCCCATCATT